TACCAGAAGCGGGAACGGGATCAAAATTGTCATCGTCAGTCATACCATATTCAAGATCAGGAATATTGGCAGGTCCTTCAACAGGCAAACCATTGACGCATGACTTAGCAGTGCTGTCATTTGTTATATTTAGTCGTCGTCTAATGATATTAACCTTCATTTCGATTTCCAAATCCATATTTTTGTGCTTTCTTTTATGAGATTCTATATCGCGAGTACGAACGTATGGTCTGTTTGGGCAAGTATCGCAACGCATATTTTTCGTTAATAGATAATTAAATGTGAAAGAAGAGGCATTCCAAATATTGCGGCACTCGCGGTTTAAAATAGGGTTTCACATCATGAATCATGATTTCACGTAACATATTTTTCTAAACAGAGCAAACATAAGCCATCCAAAAGAATAACAATAACCATAACAATGAAATTCCGAAATAGACGTGGGGGGTTTTTTTTCTTTTTTCTACTTTAAATAAAATACCAACTAAAAATTTCCAACAATATGTCTAGACAACCTGCATGGGTAAATATTGTGCTTGAAAAATAGAGAAGTTGGAAGGAACTATCATCGCAGAGCAAAATTCAGCTATAAAATGTTTTAACGAAAGATTCGATCGATTAGAAACCCTCTTGGGTAAAATAGCTACTACAAGTCCCCAAAATGTTTTTCCAAATAGCGGTCAAGATCAAATGCAAGTCGATTATGAAGAGATTGACTTGATCAAAAAGCCAGAAACTGTTCATGTTACTGATATCATTAACATACTAAAGAATAGCGATAGCGGAATGTTTCTGTTGAATTCTTTTGGCCAGCCCGAAACAGCAGACGGTATGTATCGTCGGCTAAGCAAGGATATTAACTCCATTTGCAATTCTGTCCTGAGGTCAAGCATGGATGAATATGTACCTTGGAAAACGTTATCTGGTGTTATCAAGAAGGAGCACTATAATTGGAAGCATAGTAGTTTTATCACCAATTTACTGTTTATTGTTGCTTTTTCCACCCTACGCATAACCAAATATATTGGTGGATGTGAGCTTGTGAAACTACCAAACGGGGGTTTTGATACCAATTTTTTTGGTAGTTTTTTCCATCATACCAGTGACAAATACACTATTATTGTTGGTAGTTTCTCTTCCTTTTGAGCAAATTCCCCCCAATTTTGTTGGTGTTTATTTCACATTATTTGACAAATACATACTAATATAATTGGCACTATTTATCCTCAGGGTAAATTTTCCGCTAATAAAAACTGATATTCCCATGTCCCAATTGGATATAATATATGACGTGCGCAAACATAACAGGAATAGAGGACCAACGATTGGACATTCTTTATTTGAAAAAAAAACAAAATAGGGGTGTCTGGATGCATGGATGTTTAAAATTGGTGAAAAAAACTACTAATTTTAAAGAAATTGGTGGATAAAACTACCAATTTTTTTTAAAAAAATTATTATATCAGATGCACATTATAGGTCTGCAACGTATTTTATTTAATTAAAATTTAAAAATGAAAGAATGTATTGATTGGAATGCTCGTCCATAATATAAGGCCCCTCGGAAATTGGGAATTGGAATGCATTTCCATAATTATCAACCTGGAATGGAATTTAGGAAATGTGCAAAATTAAATATGCACCCCTGAAAATATTTAAACAGAAAATGAGATCCTGCAGATTCAATAGTCAAAGCGTAATGCCAATACTTGGGGTGAGGTCTAAAACACATAATAACATTAATATCCCAAAAAAAAAAAAAAAAAGAAAAAAAAATCAAGAGTACTCATAATCACATCTATTCTGACAAAAGTCTAGTCTGCAGACTCAGTTATAGCAAGTGTTACGCAATTGTGCCTCAGTCTGCTTGTGATGCTGGTGTAACTGTACAAACAATTTTTATTAGTTTGGGAAATGTAAAATAAAATTTCTTACCATTTAGCAGAACATGTCCATAGATCAATAGCATTGCATACCTTATAAAAGACAAAATAAAATAAAATAGGAAGAAAAGAAAAGAGAATTCAAAGCTAAAAAGTTTTTAAATTTATATAAAAAATTAGAGGAATGTTATCTACGTCTGGTATTTCTAACTTCAGTTGGTGCTTCAAGTTCTTCTACTGGAGCCTCTACGACGGGGGAAACCCCAACCTAATTCTATGTCAATTTGTGAGATTTATAAGGTTTCACTTAACTATTGAAAGTAATTTTACCCTTCGTCTTTCACTTTGACGTTGCCCCTTCATTGTGTCTTGAATGAGTAGATTAGCTGCCCATTTCTTGTTGCACTTGTAGATCTGATAACCGTAATCGAAGATATCGCTTTCAAGTCTCAAGGCATAGTATGTTCTCTCTTGAGGTGAGAGACTTCCCCAACTGGTAGCAACTGTACCCTCCTGAATCATTGCATATCGTAAGCGGCGAGTGATGCTCCGAAACTGCAGTCTGATTTCCTTACATTTTGCATGGCCAATCTCTGCGGATGAGTTACTGTGATTTTTTTTCCACAGATAGACAATCAATGCATCAATACGTGCGTTAGCGCAAGGTGTTTTGTTGGTGCGCGTTGGCTGGAACCCTATCCTTGCCCCTGGCAAGGTAGCTACGATACTTCGGGCACCAAGACAATCCGGATGGGCATTAACTCTGGCCATCTCTCTTTCCTTGGCTACCAAATCAATACCTTGAGAGACAACTTGTTACACATAATTATCACTTAATTTGAAAAAAATATAGTACCTGCAGTTGCGAAAGCGCGAAAATTGGTTACATTTTCGTTATTTGGTGCAGGTGAAAACTGAATAGCAAACCGTTCATCCAATCTCAAAACCGATGATTTGAGTTCAATTACCTCATTAAAGACAGCCCTAACCATATCATCGCTTGTGGATGTTGACATGATGCTTCTGCTAGAATTGTTATTCATCTTTATAAGCTAAACGTTCAAATTAAAGGGACAAACAGAATACAGTGATAAATTAAGGATAAATCAGCAAAAAAAAAAAAAAAAAAAAAAAAAAAAAAAAATTGGCCATATAAGTTTATGCACATTCTTTAATATATTAATTTCATAAATTGTCGTGCACAAGCCAGCAATTTTTGATATAAATATTTTAAAAAAAAACCGCTAACTTTTACTCTTTAATAACAACCAATATACATTTCTCTTCTACCATGCAAAACCAATTCAAACGTATGAAGCTTTCTATTCCTATTACGTGCGACCAATGCAACCGAAAGTTCGACACCCGTGTAAATCTTCGTAACCACAAGCGTATTCATGCTGTTCATATCGAACCCAGTGTTGCTGTTCAGAATGACGAAATCATTATGGTCGATAATGTGGAAACAGCCAGAGCTTCACCCTCGGCCAATACCTCCCAATCTAGTATGACAGTTGTGATACAATGGGCATACACAAAATCAAAATACTAATTTTAAACTTTATTTCCAGATTTTTTTTGATCCTAACGAGCAGAGAACATTCAAGCCTCTTGCAATTTTAGCCCTGGTGATGAAGGACACGTTTATGATGAAGCTTCTATCCAAGAGCACGCGTTTACTACATCACAGCTAATGAGTATCGAGTTGTATGATATCGTCACATCCTTCCAAGTCTCTTCTGAATGCCATCGTCAGATTGTGCGCCTTATGAATACTGTTATCAGAGATCATGAAAAATTAGCCGAAGGTACAGTGTTTCTTATACATCCATATACATACATACAAACAGTACTGAATATTCTATTAATCACAGAATATAACCCCCATATTCTTCATGCCGGTCCTGTGTCTACTCTTCTAAAGGAAAAAACAACAATCAAAGCTCATGAGTATGATATTTGCAAAAATGTTTGTCAGCTCTTTGATATTACCAAAGATGAAAAAGTTTGCTCTGTATGTCAAGAAAATAGATACGAAAGCGAGGTTCCTGGTTCCGCCTTAATTCCAGTCCAAACAATGAAGATGATGTCCGTTGGTGATCAGCTGTCTAAGCTTTTAAGCCATGAGGAAACACGACAAAAGTTACGCTACCGTCATGATCGCAAGGAAAATCCAGGAATCATTTCTGATTACTTTGATGGCGAGGACTACAAGGCTTTAAAGGCTGCCAACTTTTTTCAGTCTCCCGAAGATATTGCTCTGGTACTCTTTGTCGATGGATTTGTCAATCAGAAAAAATCAAAGCAAGAAATGACAATTGTGCATGTACTGGTACTTAATTTTGACCCATCTATAAGGTAAGGTTAGCTCTACGTTTTCAGAAGCTATTATTGACATAAATATTAGATATACAGATCAGTACATGTTTCAACTTGCCATTATTCCTGGTAAGCCTAAGGACTTAGATTCCTTCCTCTTACCGATTGTTGATGAGATAAAAAGCCTGGGTGAACATGGGTTGATTGTCGAAAGATGGAATGGTGAGAGAGTAAAAGCTAAAGTGCATTTGGTCATGGCCACCGGGGACATCCCTCAGGTAAGAAAAAAACAAAAAAAAAAAAGTCATAATCATACTCAGCTATCTCTGCAGGTCACAAAATACATGCACCATGCCGGGCATATGGCTACCTTCGGCTGCAGAATTTGCCTGTCGAAAGGAGAAAAACGCGAATGCACCGGTTTTGGCATGTACTTTCAAGACAGAACTGCGTCGGTAAGAACAGTTTCCCAGTTTGTGCACGGAGATCAAGTAAGTTATTCAATCTATGATAATGAGCCTATAATTTAAAAATCATGTAATAGCCACACCAATTAAAAAAGGCCAACCTTTTCTCCGTGTTACCTTCCTTCTCTGGCTCTTCTTTCTATGGTTTAGATGAGATGCACTTGCTTGGGCAAGGCATTGGACGTTTCATTTTTGATATTATTGTAAAGGTCAACAAAACCAATGATACAAGTTATTACGCCAAGAAACAAACATTTTTAACAAGGATGGCTATACTTTCAAGGTCTCGAAAAGCACAACTTGATCTGGTTGGAGATTGTATTACCAGTTCCAGGGCAAGTATTCCTGTGTCTTTCCAGGGAAGTTGGGACAACGTGATCGAGAAAACTGACGGAGCCCGGGCAATCGACTTTTTGGATTTTTTGTTGTACGTGGTTCCAACTCTGTTGGTACCTTTGTTTCCCAGAACTGCCGTAAGAAAAGCACTACTTATGCTTTCTAGAGGTTGTGCAATTGCACTACAGTGGGAGCTTACGGGTCCTTTGATCCAGGAGATGGAAAGGTAGAATTACATTTATTAGATATATTCATGGACCTATTAAATTAACGCTTTCCCTAGTTGTTTCGAGAGTTGGCATGTATTTTTAGATCAGGAAATTACCAAAAAGAATATATCCAACAGCATTTTCAAACCGAACAATCACTATCTTTCTCATATCGGTTACATTGTGCGAAAAGCGGGATGCATGAGATCTTATAGTGCAAGATCTATGGAAAGAACAATAGGCAAATATTCCAAATTGATCAAAAGCAAAGTACACGCTGGGAAAAACGCTGGGAATATGGTGGAAAGACTGTCGATTTGTGGATATATCAATTTGGCTTTAGACACAGTCAGTTTGTTGGATACAATCACAGCAACAAAAACATCGTTGGATGATTTCATAGAGCTGCCGCTTACAGCAATCCATAACCTTAATCATCAGCTATGGAGCCCATTCACCTTATTTACTCAAGACATGGTCGAATCAGTCCCCATTGATACGTTTCTTCGAGAGCTCAAAATATACTATAGCCGTTCAACAACATCGCCTTTGTCGTATATCACCATCAATAACATGAACTTTAAAATTGCTGCTCGCGCACTTTTGTACAGCCATGTAATATCTTCGAAAATGTACCGTAGAATCCGATCGGAACATCGCCGTGGAAATCACTTCGTTTTATTCAATGCTAGTTATAAATCGTAAGCATCAATTTTTTCTTAAATATGTGTAGGTTACTTACCAATTATATGTAGCAAAACTTGTTGGTACATTGGGGCGGTGCTTTTTTACTTCGAGCACAACAACACCTCCGATCCTCAAAATGCACAATTCTTGGTTTTTGTTGAAGTAATGAAAGAACATTACGCTGCCGACTATGACAATACTATACCGATGATAAAAATGAACAGCGATAGTGCAACAACAAGACATGCTGTGATCAGCCTCAACGACGTCCAACATCAAGTAGGTTTGGTCCAGTCATCACCCAATTCACTTGAATATAAAGTTGTTGCACCATACAAGATCTTCAACGAAAACGTAAAACAAAGTGCTGGACAACTAAAACACATTTAATTATTCTTCTACACCAACCCATGCTTTTTTTTATCTCTTATCCACACAAACTTTTTTTTTTTTACATATATTCTTATCCATATCCACATATTTTTAAAATAAATCTTTAACTTTCAAATTGAAACCTAGTTCGGGATCACACAATGATTGTTCAGATGTCAACAACATTACATTGATGAAGAGGGTCAAAAAAAAAAAAAAAATAAAAAAAAAAGAAAAAAGAAAAAAGAAAAAAGAAAAAAAAAAGAACTTCAGTACTACCTCCCTAAAATCGGTCGGGTTATATATACCCCTTACCTAAAAATTGGTGGAAAAACGCTGGTATGCATATCAATCACCAATTCCTGAAGCTGAAAAAAAAACAAAAAAATTCAAACGGCTGTAACTCTTCCAAAATCCAAAAAACTTTCGTTTTAAAAGTTCGTGTGCATTGAGGAAACTATTCCGTAATAGTTTATAAATTAAACTAAGTCTTTTTTGCCACTTTTTTTTTTCGCAGCCAAAATAAAAAAGTGAATAGAGATCTGATACGAGATATCATTGGTTCGCAAAAAAAAATTGGTGAATTTATGCAGATTTTGGTAATAACTGCCATACCTTGGATCATAGTGGAGTTAATATCAAGAGCCTCCAGGGAAGCTCATTTTTTAAACATTACAGACATTGTCAATTATTGTAAAGGTTATTGGGCCATTGACTTCATGTTACACAGCTGCTGGTCAAACAAGGCTCCCTCAAAAACGAACAAAAACCGTAAGAGACGGCACTCGGCTTCTAACCAATAATGTAATGTAAGGCTAACTATATAACCATTTTGATAGTATTATTAACATGTCATATTTTCCAATGATAGTGAACGATTCTTGCGGTTGCATAGCTGTATCGACAACAGTACCTTTCCCACAAGTTCCAAATAATGTTTTTTTCTTCAAATAAAGGTTTTTATAACTGTAAAAGTGTTCATTTTAAAGTGATCTTTAGGTAGTTTTAAAGTGAAATCTAAAGTGATATAAAGGTGGATCTAAAGTGATACAGTAGTCGCTCGATTTAAGGGTGTTCGATTTAAGGGTATTTTCTGTTTAAGGGTGGATTTTTGAAAAACAACTTCCGTCCCCAGCATTAACACCACTAAACCACTATTCTATTTAAGGGTGAGATCCTAATTCCCCATACCCTTAAATCGAACGGGTTTTTACCATATTTGGGTTTTTTTTTTTTTTTTTTTTTTTTTGGTGCCCAGTCGAAAAAAAAAATTTATCAGTAACAAATCATCACTTTTTAAAGTCATTTGTGACAGGAGAAATAATTTTTTTATTAGGAGAAAGCGACGAATATCAGCTTGTTCTTTCAAATTTTCTATTTCAGCACGAGATTCAGCCAATCTCATTCTAACACGTCTATGAACTGATTGTCCAAGTCATCCAAAGGCACATCCAACGCTAGAATCGTCTCATAAGCTTCCCTCAACCGTTTTTTACAATCATTGATATCGACGTATATCTCCTGTTCAGGTATCATTGGGATCTCCTCCTCTCCGTCCATCACGATGTCCTCATCATCGATGATAAACATCTCGTTAGAATCCAGATCCAGCTGACTGACATCAGTGATCTCGTTGTCTGAATTACCAGGAGGATCGGGCAACAAATTGTTGATCTCCTGGACAACGTTATCTTCCAGAGGCAAGGGGACAGTGGGTGGCAAAGCCAACGTGTCAGGGTTCTCTTTAAATCCCAAGATATTGGTATGCCTCCGACAATTCTTAATTGTCTCAGGTGTTACCTTTAACCAAGCATTGGCCAAGAAAAACATGGCTTGCACCTGATTCATGTTGTAAACATCCAAGTTATCTAACTGTTTGCTGGCGAACAAATCGAGACTTCTCATGTACTGTTGGGAGCGAAAGTAAGCCTTAAAGTTCGGCAATAATTCCTAAATAAAGTGAAATAAGATTAGTACTTCGACTTAAAAAACAGTATCCTTGTTTATTTTGCCTAACTGCATCGAGAGCTTGCAACATACTCGTTGTGTTGGCAGGAAGAAACACCAACTTTATGTTCACCGGCTTGAACTTCAACTTATGCACTGAGGCATTGTCTAAAAGAAGAGCCACTTTTCTACCCTCTCTACCAAAAGCATTGTCCAGTTTTTTGACATAAGCCGAGATGATCTCGGTAGTCATCCAAGCTTTAGGCGAGTGGTGGTACTCCACGTATCGACGGGTACCAATGGCTGTCATTGAAAGCATTTTCGGGTTTTCCTTGAAGCAACGAGGGCTTTTGAATTGCCCAATTACAATGGGATGGCCTTTGTACGTACCATCCGCATTGCAAAGTAGCCCCACAGTTACACGGGTCTTACTCTTCTTCAACCCACCAAGTGGTTGTGAGCAAATTCTTCTTCTTGGTGGTTGATTGTAGTACAATCCGGTCTCGTCGAAGTTCATAATATCAGCAAGAGGATAATCCGTCAATTCTTCCCGAATTTTTTTAAGCTGGTCTTGAATGCTTTGGGAATTGACATCCACAGAGGCACATTCCCCATGAGTTGGTCTACATTTTAAACCGAGACGTTTGAAGACCTTGGAAAGCCATCCATCAGAGAAGGTAATATCATCAGTGATGGAGTACTTTGAACGAGCGATGCGCTTGACGTACTCGATGATACAGGCACGGTTTACTGGTATGCTGCAGTCATTCATATGATTCACGAATTTTTCCACTTCTTCGTCAAGTTGAGGATACTTGGGTAGCTTCAAACTCTTGCTATTCTTGATAACAACAATGTTAGAATACAACTGATCTGCATTGTTGAGGATGTTTGACACAGTTTGTTGTGAAAGAGGTTTTATTAAATCAAACTTTTTTTGTGCCCATTTTCCGAGCTCTATCTGATTGGTGTTTCCCATTCCAAACTGATCTAAAATTTCAATTTTTTGGGAAATTGTAAGACGTTGTTGAGGATATCATAGATATAATAATAAAGTTAATTGTCACATCACATTATGGATGGATAATAAATATAAAAGTTAATCATGAATCACGCATTACCCCACTTGTTCTCATCCTACCGTTGGAGTCTGTACACAGGGCACATCCCTGTGGCGAGTAAATATTTATTCTGCAAAAGCAATACAATCGAATGGGCCTGGACTATAGAATATTAATAGATCCTGAGTACAAATATTACTCTTGTCATTTGATGTTATAACTGTTGATCCCTCTGACTAATATTTATATACTCAGTATGGAAGGGCTAAAATTAAAGACATGTTGATTATTTACTATCACCAGATTATTACATCATGATCCAATAAGGCGCTTACTATTCTCCCTAGAACTGTCCCAGTTCTGTATATAAATATCCATAGTTTTTTCTCATAGACGAGGGAGATCTTTTTTTTGGAAGACCCTTTTTTCAATTCAATTTTATATATACGTTTTTGAATTATAATTTTTTCGTCCATAATAAAAGTGGTATCCAAGTTCTAACAGTATCACTTTTGGTTTATTTTTTATTTTTGTTCTCCATGCAAAACAGACGTAAACGTGTGTTGCTCATATTGAATAAAAGAAAGATATGCAAGGATTGACAAAGTGTATCCAAAGTTTTATTATAGAAGATATTCAAAATTTAACAGCAGCTGGCGCCTGGGGACTGTTTTTTAAAGAGTAGTCACGATTTTCGATATAAGGGTATTTTCTATTTAAGGGTGAGATTTCCGAAATTTCTGGTCACCCTTAAATCGAGCGACTACTGTAGCTCGCATCGATTTGTTTACCAACAAGTTTGTTGACAAAATCAACAAGTCTTGTTGATTATTTCAACAAACTTGTTGGATGTAACTTTGTTGCTTTTGCAAACAAATTTGTTGATTTTACAAACAAGTCTTGTTGAACTATTTAACAACTTTGTTGATTTTACATACAAGTCTTGTTGAACCTTTCGACAACTTTATTGATCTTACAAACAAGTCTTGTTGAACCTTTCAACAACTTTGTATGATTTATAAACAATACTTGTTGGAAAGTCCAACAACTTTGTTGGTGTTTCAAACCAATGTTGTTGCGCTTTTTCATATTTTCATTCGTAAAACGGTATAAAACAACCAATGGTTTTTGATTTCATTATCATTCAGTCATCATTTTATATAAACCACATGATAAATTATTAAACAGATTTTATTATCGTATATACAATGGCTATTGAGAAGCAGAAATATTTTTAATTATAATAAGGAAAAGAGTCTTTTTCAACATTCGTTCTTATAGACGGTATAACCATAAATAGGGCACTAATACACATTTATTAATGTTTACAGTCTTTCGCACATGAAATCGAAGGAAACATAAAACCAAGAAAGAGTGCTTCATATCAATGTATTGATCCTCTAAAAAACATAATTAGAAACACATAGAAGCGATTTAGAATAATCTCAACCCTGCTTTGACGGTACATCATAAAACAGGCGTACCGTTAGTCCTAAAAAATGATAATCAGATATGTGAGCGATTATTAAAAAGATATGTAACTTCAAAAGACATATCATAACATCTTTACATAAAGAGTGATCTAATTTAGAAAAATAATTGAGGTGGTCCACATTAGTCTTTTGATTTAGGAAGTATATAAGAAAACTTACAGCTTTATCTAAAGTACGACTTCCTTTTTTTAAAAGAGATAAAGGAGTATATTAGCAGTCTACATAAAGAGCAAAAGCTACTCCTAGACTACCTGAATGAGAAGCGTTGTTAGTTATGTAGATAACAATAACGCAAAACATGAGGCTTCAAATTGGAAGTTGAGTACCTTACATATAAGCAAAGACCGTTAAAAACACGTTGAGGTTATCAATAGAAGCTCCTCTTGAAGCTAAAAACAAAGCCAGCATTGTTAATAGACACACATATTACATTGGGAAATAAAGTTACCATATAACCTTAGTATTTTTTTAAGTGAGTCTAAGAAGAAAGAAAGGAATAAAATTTAAAAAATAAATATTGGGCTTACGCCAGTTTTATTTGGTTTAGTGGCCTAAAATCCGACAACTTATCTCTGCTTTACAACGGTACTACCGCAGAACATATTCCGGTTTCCATGAGCTTGTCAACACAAGTAATGGTGTAGTCAATGGGGCTGTCGGACCTGGTTTGATGATATTGTGTATATCTCCTCTTTTTCAAAGATCATATTAACGAGCCCAGAAGAGGCAATAACTATGTTTTGTTGGCTGCATCCCACCTAAAGTAAGACTGGTTGTTTATCGTCATTATTTAGTTGTACAGACAATTTTTTTCAAACATTTATAGCCACTACAACAATTTAACGAGTCTACTTTATGTCGGTTCCAACAACTTCTTTTTTGAGACGACATTTGATGGCGTGACTGATTTTCTTGTCTTAATTGATGTGGCTGAATTACATGGCGTGGTAGATTACGACAGGCTCATGCCGAAGGTGGTGTTACGTCGCCCTGGTAAACATAAGAATGTTGTTTGCCGCTCCAAAGATATCGTTTGTAACGTAAGCCTTGTCCGATACACCATGGCTGAACATTATTACACAGTCATATAGCATCACATTCTCAGGGAATTGCTATACTCGAAGATGGGATAATGCGAGTAACCTTTAAGAAATATAGAACTATAGAAATAAAAATATAAATAAAAATAAACATGGACAAAATGACCAGAATGAATCTCAAACGTTTGGATGAGAATAGAAAAATCTTGACACCAGAATCGATAAACCAATCTGCAATCAACACTTGTTGAATAATTCACCAGAGTTGTTGGCCAGCAACATTTCTTTTTTATAAAAAAAATGGTCAACAACGTTGTTGACAAAATCATCAACAGTTGTTGATTCTGTCAACAACGTTGTTTACAACAAACAACACATCCGCCATAGTGTATATAATTGGCTTACATGGGACCATTCGTCCGCTCCACTTGGCAAAACATTAATTAACTACTATTTTCAGTAAATAGGCTTTTTCATCTTTAGTCATTCTGAGAGATACTGTTACGTTGCCCATTAGGGGGTCCCAAACATTAAACTTTTTATAAAATTATCGGGCGCTTTTTTTAAAAATTCCGGGAGCTTTTTTTGTGTGAGTGACTGTCTAAAAACCTTGTGACTTAGCCAAAAGTACACTCTAGCACTTCTCTGCCTTAATTCCTCTTTTACTCCTCTTTTACTACTCATTTACTTATAAATCTCTCTATAAACTACCTTTATAATGCCCAAAGTATCAACCAGACAACAAACCTTGAAAGAAATGAAAACTTTGCATAAGCACAGTGTCATCATTGAAGACGATAAACAAGCCGATGAGATGCACGAATTATTGAGCGGATTGGAAACGAAACGCGTTTTGAACAGTGGAGCAGGCATCCCTAAACTTAACCAGTACCGTGAGTTTTTTCTCAAGTGGGATGACGAAGAGTTTGTCAAGATGTGTCGAATGAAGAAGGAGTCTTTCTTGAAACTTCTTCGACTTATTGAAGACCACTCTGTCTTCAACAACAAGAGTTTTTTCGACCAGATAGATGTTCACATTCAACTTGCGGTGACCTTATGACGATTGAGCCACGACGGAACAGGTAATAGTATTGACCAGATTGCCACTTTGTTTGGGATCAGTAAAGGCTCTCTCACCAACTACACGCAACGCTGCTTCAAGGCAATCAATGACAACCTTGGACATTTAATGCGTTGGCCCAACATGGAGCAAAGAGAATTGTCGGCCGCAGCAATCAAGAAATACCACTTCTTTCGAAATTGCATTGGGTATATTGATGGTACTCATTTTCGTCTTGCGCAGAAGCCAACGAAGCATGCCGAAACGTACTACAACCGAAAGGGTTTTTACTCTTTGAATTGTCAAGTCGTATGCGACGAAAGGATGATCATTTTTGGATTGCAAGTAGGACATGTAGGTTCAGTGGGTGACGCCACATGTGTAGAGCATACCAGCTTTATGGTAAATAAAGACCAGCTTTATGGTAAATAAAGACCACCTTTATTTCACATGTGGTAATGGTGCAAACCATGAGTATCGTCTCGGTGATTCCGGATATGCTCTACATCCATTCGTTCTTACCCCTTTCAGGAGACCTCAGGTACTGAAATCCAAGAAGTGCGAAGATTTCAACAAGGTACATTCTCCTGCGAGAGTTGCCGTCGAGAACACGATCGGTGTACTGAAAGGTAAATGGAGGATCTTGAAGAACATTCCCATCCAGATAAATTGCAACAAGGACGTGATGAAGATCGACGAGATGGTGTCTGTTTGTGCTCTTTTGCACAATTTCTTGATTACTGAAAACGACAATTTTGCTGGCGATTTTTTTGAAGACGTAGATGTAGGTCAGTCAAGAAAGGATGTATTGTTGCTTCAATCGTTCGACAACATCAAAAGTATTTCTGGTCGTACACTGAATAGATGGAGGGATTCGGTTGTGGATGTAGTATTGGCAGATTACACTGTACATTTCGAACGAAATAAAAAATAAAGAAATTAGATCGATGAAAAGTGCATTATAGTTTGGAAGTCATGAGCAAATTTATTATTGTAATGAATGAGGGATGGTAGAAAGTCATTAATAATACAATCAGGTAAATACTAGTTTTAAAAAAAGGTTTTATTCAAAAGAAAAAAAAACTAACGTCTAGCTACTTCAGATCCATCATCAGAGAAATCATCGTTACCGTCAAAAGCGGGTTCACCTTCACTATCACTACTTACGTGATACGCCTCTTCGTTACCTCGAGCATTACCAAGAGGTTCCCTCAATAATTGCCGGAACGCCGCAATGTGTTGGGCAATTTCCGTGAAGGACGTCGTTCTAAACGCATTAGTCCGAAGACTCGTCACCAACAGCTCCGTCATACCCAGCTCGAAATTCCTCTGGCTGTTCTCCCGCAGCACTTCATCTCTTCTCAGTTGGGCTTCACGGTACTCGGATGAGAAATCCCTCTTGATTCTCTTGTTTCTCATTGTATGGTCAGGATCAACACGAATTCGATCGACAGAAGGAATTTCTGGACGAGGTCTAGATAACCCAACTGTTGTGAAATAGAAAAAGGGGAAAGGGCAAGTACTGTTACGACTAAGTCGTCTCTAATTTTATTTAAAAAGAAGATAGAGATAATTCTACAAAACTATCAAAGGGTATTTATATATAATTTGAAAGGTATCAAGAGGAGGGTATTGACAGTGACCAGCACCGGTGATTCCATAACAAGCAAAACCTTGACAGTCATCACCTAATTGACGGTTCTACTAAATATGGGAAAAGAAGGCAGAAGGAAGAAGGAAAGACCAAAGCCACGTAAACAGGTTTATGATTTACCAAACTTAGTTTACCGAGGTCAAGAAATAAATAAATATAAAGAAGTAAATAAACAATTATACAAACAATAGCACTCATTTCCATATACGTATGGCTCAGGTCCTATGAGACTCTTCGCTCGATACACGTTACACAGCATTGTTTTATTGATAGAGGTAAATTGTGGAACAACTAATTCCCACCAGTGTGATTATATGGAATCATGTCCTTATTGGATCATCTCCGATAGTTCTACTCTAGGTGTGTTATTATGTTATCCTCAACACCAACATTCCCACGAGCACCACGAGAACTACGACCACCAGAAGCAGCACAACCACCGGAAGCACGAGTACTATTGGAGCTACCACGAACACCCCGGGAATCAGCATTGACACGAACAGCGTCCACATCATCATCGTCATCGCTGAATGCATTCGTGCCAAGGATTTCAGCGACTTCCCTGTCTAATGACACTGAACTACGACGAGTTCTAGGACGATCGTCAGGAACCACAGGAAGAGAAGACGTATCGTTGTCACCTATAGGCTCAGCAGACAAAGAGCGAGGAATCATTGATGGTCCAGGAGACGAAGGGCCAACAGAAGGATCGTGGGTACGAGCTGCAGGTTCCTCAGAGGCAGATCGAATTGGCTGAGCTGGTTCAAACTCTTCGCCCTCACCAAAAACAGCACGGGTTTGTTCATCAATTGCCGTAATGGTGGGCTCTTTTCTACTAGAGAACGTATACTCAGTACCGCCAGGAGCACCATGGAAAGCTACGCAAACAGGTTGGGTATTAGGCCTATCACCATGCAAAGTCGACAATCGTTCAAATTCAGGACATTCGAAATCACACTTTTGTTCGATACTGGTGATCCCTCCACGAATATCCTTTTCTGTCAAACCAAAACCAGTGCCATTCAACTTTCTCTCTATTTCACAATACTTGGTGAAAAGACGGGCAACACGTTTCATAAGCTGATCCAGCGTCCAATCGGTGGGTATACCCTTGTCAGCCAACAGTTTTCTCATCATACCCATAATGATTTCACGCTTTTTGACTATGGTAGCAGCTCCAGGGGCAGCGTTATCATGTACACCGATGTATGCTTTAAAAAGCTTGATGTTTTCCTCGAAGTAACCAATCATCGCTTTGGCATGAGCAGGACTAGTGTTGGATCCACGTTGGCTATCATCAACAGAAGCTGTTTTGGAAGACGTTCTCTTTGGATGTTTTAGCAGTAGTTTGTTTACGTTGACCGGGCATTTTAGTTGATATAATTCAGAAAATAATTTCAGAGAAAGAAGGTAAGTCAAATGTGGGATAAACGAGGTTTATATATGATAATTAGATGAGTGGTGACATTTGCATGTCATTTTTATGACGTAAAATAAAGAAAAATAAACTTTTTATTACTTTTTATGGCAATTTCGTCATAATTTATGACGTAAAATCCACGGACGATAATTATTGTCCGTCATTTTTCTCGACCGATAATTATCGTCCGTCGTTTTTCTTGACCGAAATTTATCGTCCGTTCCTGAATTTTTGGCTGGGGAAAAAATTACGGGATTTTTTAAAAAAAATTTCGGAATTTTTATTTTTAATGTTTGGGACCCCCTATTGTTATTTTGATTAAGTTATATGAAAAGAAAGAAAAAAGGCTTTTTTAAAAAGCGCTAATTATGGTTTTTATAACACGTTGTTTAATAAAGCATGCTATTCTGTCAGACTTGTTTGAATCAATCATCTTGTTGGGATAATATGGCGTGAATTATGAGATTCAATGTTGTGAAACCCAATTATTGTCACTTTTGTATCGGTAACGAAATACAAGTTAATCGCTCTTTTATCATCCATTTCCTATTTCTTTATCCCCTGTGGTGATGCACCTACTGTTGTTACTAATCACACCATAAAACAATATTAAAATTAAATCTCACTTCATCACCCCATACATTATTACATCACAACACGAACTAATCTCTTATGCATTATATCATATCCAACTACAAGCGCTATTTTAGTGCTGTGTAACTTATCCATCGAACTAAATTCATTATCCGATTTCTCTTAACATATATAAATATGCAAACTGATAGTTAGAATAGAACCCTCTCAATCTTTTAATCTACTTTTACTCTTAATAAAACTTATAAGCAGTCTCAAAGTATTTTATTGTTTTTCTCTTTTAAAATCTATTCTCGACTATGACATCCCCTTTATATTTTTGATACAAAATGCCCCCTATAACAAAGCGTAAGTTAGCATTATTAACGCATATTACTTTGC